GATCGGGCAGTGTTTCGTTCTGCTGTGCATGGGGTCGCTATGAGTCGGAAACGACTCGACGGCACTTAACAACAACAACAACAACAACCATTAATATCACATGCAAGTAAAATTCTGCTGAAGTTCATTCAAAAATGGTTGTAGCAGTATATTGACAGGAAACTTCCATAAATGCAAGTTGGATTCAAAAGAGGATGAGGAACGAGGGATATCATTGCAGATGTCAGACAGATCTTGGCTGAAAGCAAAGAATACCAGAAAGATGTTTACTTGTGTTTTATTGACTAAAGAAGGGAGTTACTGTATTTTCTGGTGTGATAGATCCTGATTACCAAGGGGAAATTGGATTGATATTCCATAATGGAGGTAAAGAATAATATGTCTGGAATACAGGAGATTCTTTAGGACATCTGTTAGTACTACCATGCCCTGTGATTAAAGTCAATGGAAAACTACAGCAACCCAACCTTATTATGACTACTAATGGCCCAGACCCTTCAGGAATGAAAATTTGGGTCAATCCACCAGGCAAAGAACCATGACCAACTGAGGTGCTTGCTGAGGGCAAGGAAAATATGGAATGGGTGGTGGAAGAAGGTAGTTCTGAATACCAGGTACGACCATGTGACTAGTTGCAGAAATGAGGACTGTGATTGTTGTATTTCTTCACTGTATGTGTGCATCAAATATTTTTGTTTTCTTCAGTTATGAACTGTAAAATATACACAGGGTTAATGTGTTTTCAGTTGTACACATGTTAGCTGTATCATGTTAGGAGGAAGTATGACTTTATAAGTGTCCTTATTTACAGATCATATGTGGTTAAGGAAATGTGTAGAACTGCCAAATTGACAAGAGCTGAACTGTGATAGTTGTCAACTTGGCTGGACCATGATTCTGAGTGGTTTAATCAGTTGTGATGTGGTGATTCCCATGATGAGATATGATGTATATGCTTTGAGCAGCCAATCAGTTGAAAGGAAGTTTCCCTAGGGGTGTAGCCTGCTTCATATGTGTATATATATATATGGACGTCCTGGGAAAATTCGGGAACCTTCTGTGGATCTGGATCCTGTCATGCTACCTACAACTACCCTGGATCAAACAATCCACCATTCTGCCTGGTGATCTTGGATTCATTATCCACCTAAGTCAACGGCCATTAAACTGACTGCCAATCTTGAGCTTGTCAGCTGTTGCAGCTTTGTGTATCAGGAAAACCTCCAGCTTGACGTTTGATCCAGGAACTTGGGATTTGCAGCCTCTATAACTGTGTGAGCCACTTTCCTAAGATACATTTCTCTATATATGTATATAAGCTTTACTGGTTTTGCTTCTCTAGAGAACCCAACCTAACACATTGACTATGCAAAGGCATTCGACTGTGTGGATCATAACAAATTATGGATGACATTGCAAAGAATGGGAATTCCAGAACACTTAATTGTTCTCATAACAAACCTGTACATAGACCAAGAAGCTGTTGTTCGAACAGAACAAAGGAATACTGCATGATTTAAAATTAGGGTGTATGTCAGGGCTGTATCCTTTCACCATACTTATTCAATCTGTATGCTGAGAAAATAATCTGAGAAGTTGTACTATATGAAGAAGAATGTGACATCAGGATTGGAGGAAGAATCATTAACACCCTGCGATATGCAGATGCCACAATTTTGCTTGCTGGAAGTGAAGAATGCTTCATCTTACTGACGAAAATCAAAGACTACAGTCTTCAGTACCTCAACATAAAGAAAACAAAACTCCTTACAACTGAACCAGTAAGTAACATCATGATAAATGGAGAAGAAATTGAAGATGTCAGGGATTTCATTTTACTTGGATCCACAATCAATGTCCATGGAAGCAGCAGTCAAGAAATCAGATGTTGTATTGTACTGGGCAAATCTACTGTAAAATCTTTAACACTTTAAAGTATTGAAGAGCAAGGATGTCACTCTGAACACTAAAAGGTGCCTAACCCAAGCCATGGTATTTTCAACAGCCAAAAAGCTGGACAATAAATAAGGAAAACTGAAGAAGAACTGACGCCTTTGAACTGAGATGTTGGCAAATACTGAAAATACCATGGACTGCCAGAAGAATGAACAAGTCTGTATTGGAAGAAGTACAGCCAGAATGCTCCTTGGAAGTGAGAATGGCCAGCCTTTGTCTCTCCTACTTTGTTCATGTTGTTAGAAAGGACCATTCCCTGGAGAAGGATACCATGCTTGCTAAAGTTGATGTTCAGAGAATAAGGGAAAGAACCTCAATGAGATGGACTGACACAGTGACTACAACGATGGGCTAAAGCATAGCAAGGATTGTGAAGATGGGGCAGGACCGGGCAGTGTTTTGTTCTGTTGTACACAGGGTCTCTATGAGTCAGAATCGACTCGATGGCACCGAACAACAACATGTGATTAAAAAAAAAATGGAACAAAAATAAGTACCTCCCAAGTATAGCTCATTTGTTAACCAACAGTAAGAATCTCAGATGATTTTTCTTAATAAGTGCAATCACAAATAAATGTATTTATTAAGTTATGTGACTGCCTGAAAAATGTAAACTTTATGAATAAAGGAATTTAAACGTTTATCAAGTTTTAACAACTTTAGTACTTTTCATGGACCTTTACCTGATATGGTTCTTTGTAAATTTATATAAACAAAATAACCATAAAAAACTCATTGAATACTTTACCCATTGTAGAAATTATTTTCATCTGTGGATCCAAAGGGTGAGGGTGCATCCTGAATTGATAACACTTTTTAACAGAGTACTGTTGAAGCAGAAGAACCACACCGACCTGCAGACACTTATACCACTCAGGACACAAGGCATTCCACATAATCACGGAAACTATGCCTGAACTGTCAGCAACTTCCAAAAAGATCTAGAAAAAAAGAGTACAATAACACATATTTGTGTCTTTTATCTACACACATGATAGACAGCATATTATCTGAGCTAATTTAGACTGATATAAAATAAATAATTTAAGTTCTTTATTAGAATTGATTCCGTTGTCAACTCTGCTAAGTATTGGTAATCTAAAGGAGAGATTTTTTTACAAGATGCATTCAAGTCCCAAATGTACTACTAACTTATGTATGATTGTAAACTCTAAAAGCATGAATCAGTTCTTATTTATCTTTGGTTCTCCCATGTTTAGCACAGTGTTTTGCACAATACATTTGTCAAATAAATGAGACAAGTCACACTTTAGAGATTGTGTAAATCCTGTGTAGATCCTGACTTCATTCTTGGTATTTTGAAGTACTGGAGAGCCCTGATACTTATATTACAGAACTTTAGATAGACATAACTTATGGACTGAATTGTGTCCACCCAAAAAATGTGTTGGAATCCTTACCTCTATACCTGTAGGTATAGTTCCATTTGGGAATAGAGTTTCCTTTGTGTTGTTAATGAGGTCATATCAGTGTAGGTTGTGTCTTAAATCTAACTACTTTTGAGATATAAAAAGAGCAAATAAGGCACAAAAGCATGCACAAATGGGGGAAAGATAGATGCCATGGGGAGATCTCCACGGAACTGAGGAACCACCAGGCCTCGAGAGGCTGAGACAAGGATTTTCCCCCAGAGCAAACGGAGAGACAGACTTCCCCTAGAGCTGGTGCCTTGAATTAGGGCTTCTAGCCACCTAAACTGGGAGAAAATCAATTTCTGTTCGTTAAAGCCATCCACCTGTCTTATGTCAATTACAGCAGCATTAGGAAACTAAGATAGAAGGAACAAAATGAGCAAAGGCATGAAAGGTAGAAAACTTTTTTTTTTAATTTAAATTTTAATTTCTAGGTAGGGTAATTTGGCTGTTATTGCATATGGAGAGATCAGGAGGAGAGAGACTTGGGAGAAACAGAGGCAAAGGAGCAAGCGGAGTCAAAAATCCAGGGAAGAAATTATTTCAAGAATGAGAAAGCAAAAAATTACATGTGAATTACTCAATAATTTATTACATCCCACTGATAGAATCCATAACTACGCAAATTATGAATTAAGAATTTTTAGTGATGTGAGAAAGTACTTAAGACAATATTAAATGAGAGCAAGATACAAAATTATATGTACAATTCCTATTTTGTAGAATATCAGTCATTCACAGGCAATATACAATATATGTGCATACACTTATGTGTGATATGGTATTTGTATGTGATGCAAACTGTTTGCACTCAGCTTCTAATCAAAAGGCTAGCAGTTCAACCCACCAAGCAGTGCTGCAGAAGAAAGTCCTGGCTATCTGCTTCCATAAAGATTAAAGCAAAGAAAACCTAGGGAGCCCAGTTCTACTCTGTAACATAAGGGGTTGCCATGAGTCAGAATCGGCTCCATGGCAGTCAGTTTGGGTTTTTTTTTTTTAATGATATGATACCATACATATGTATATTTGATTTAAACATGTATGTGTGTGTATATATACACAAAACACAGGGAATAAAAAATACCATGTTATCAGAGGCTCTCTCTGAGTGATAGGATTTCAGGTGATATTTTTCTCTTTGTGTGACTTTCTACATTTTCCAAATTCTCTATAATGAGTAGATATAATTTTTATAATAAAAACTTAATAACATACCTAAAATAATCCCTGTAACATTGGGAAACACAATAAAATGCTAAGTTAAAGCCATAAACTTACTATGAAATATGTTCTCATCAGCCTTATATGCCACAGAGTCAAGATAAAAGAAAAGTGTCAGATTTGATAATTAGAAGGTTGTGAATAATGAACTAAAGAAAGAAGCCAAACTGATTTGTTTTGAAAAGTAAATGGAAGGCAAGAAAGTGAAAACATCTAGCATAGACTACTTCTTCAAAGAACTTGGCATGAAGAGAAGGAGAGTGGAAACAGAGTCATAAAGTAAGGGAGATTTTTTTCTTTTTTAAAATGGGAGAATAGAGTACATTTATATGCTGGTATGGAAAGCACCAGTAGAGAAGAAAAGGTTAAAGACACAGAAAAAAGAGTGAAGGACATCAGCTGGATCAGGGAACTTAAGGGCACCAACACAGAAACAATTTCTTTTTGTATAAGAAATTATATAGTAAAACATACCTTGAAATACATATTTATTTACATTTCTATTTACTTAATGAGTTAACTTATAAATTATTACTTTAAAACAAAACTATTCCAATATGGAGTCATGTCTGTAAATTATAATTTATAAACTTTAACATATAATATCTTATTGTTACTTGTACCTGGAATGGCTCAACTATTCTTCTATCAGGTTTTCCATAGTATCGCAGTTTTGATTTGTACAAAATTCTTACAAGCAATGCAGGAAAATTCCTTCTGTTAGACCAGGTCATTTCAAGGTGAGAAAGAGAAATTATTTTGCTATCTAGAATATAAAAAGGAAAAGCATCCTAGTTAATACATCATTTTAACCTCAAAGATCTATTTTAATGGTTAAAGATGATAATAACCAGACTATACCCAAAGCAACTACTTCTTGCGAGCAAAGCCAGTAAGTATATATACTTCTCCAGCATAAAACTTAGTAAGACACATCTCTTGTTTGTTCCACACATTGTTCCATCTAGAAGGTCCTCCATCTTGCTAAGCTGTGGAATTTACTTCCTGAGAGACTTGGATCTAAACTTACTTCCTTTAAGAAATTTTATGGGAAAAAAATGTCACAGAATAATTTCTTCCTAATCAAACCTACTGCCTTTGGGTCAATTGTGACTCATAGCAACTCTCATATGGTTTCCAAGGTTGTAAATCTTTGTGGAAGCAGACTGCCTCATCTTTCTCCCATCAGAGTGGCTGGTGGGTTCAAACTGCTGAGCTTTTGGTTAGCAGGCCAATGCCTTAACCACTGCACCACCAGAGCTCCTTAATTTCCTCATAATAAGGACTTACATATATTCAATTTATAGAATTTTTATGACATATTTCTTTATTGTTCTCACATTGGTTTCATATCTGTAAGTTCCACCTCCCTCAAACACACCAAACATGCTCCTGAATCAAGGCCCTTTCACTTGCTGTTCCCTCTGTCTGGAATATCTTCCCCTTAGGTATCTGAAAGATCTGGTGGTGTAGCAGTTAAGGTATTTGGCTGCTAACCAGAAGGTTGTTGATTCAAACCCACCAGCTCCTCCCCGGAAGAAAGATGAGGCAGTCTGCTTCCATAAAGATTTTCAGCTTTGGAAACCCAATGGGGGTCATAAGAAGTCAGAATAGACTCCATGGCAGTGAGCAGTGAGTTTGGTGGGTACTTATTTTTGCTTTAGATATCCAAGTGAAGTTCTCTTTCCTCTCCTTCAAGTTCTGCTCAGAAGTTACTTTCTCAGTGATGTTATCCCTAACAACCCTATTGAAAACTGGCCCCTTTACTTATTCTCTGTCTCACTTTATTTTTCTACATAACGCTTATCTTCTAATCAACCATATAATTTACTGTGAAATGTTTTAATCTTAAAGCTTGTTGGCAAGCACAAAAGCTGCTTAATAGTTATTCACCATTTTTTAAGGATTAACTTGTACTTCTAATTTTATTCTTCCTTGGGTTGAAAGGGTTTGCATCTACAATTCTCTCCTCTTTTTGCTCTCTCATAGCCCCCAGTCCCAACTTTGAAGACATGAATTTGCATTAGTTTCAATATTTGTTTCGTTAAGGCAGCCTCCTTTTCCAATTCTATCTACAAAAGTATTATCTAGTCAATATTTTCGCATTAAACTAGTACTTGTACAGTGGAACCTGTGAGAGCCAGAACTCAAAGGAACTGCCCTGTTTTTCCAGGTCTTGAAAGTTTTCTACCTTTGACAGGGTGTAGTCTTACCACTTCTCTATTGCTCTCTTAGTAGAAAATATTTGAGTTTTCCTTCTCTGACAGGTTTCTGCTTTACACAGATTCTGGATTTTACAGGTTTTACTGTAATTACTTTTTAGTAAGAGTTTAAATGGTATTTTATAATTATTACTGTACCAATTATTTTATAATTACCCATTATTTTCAGTATTACTAATACACCTTGTGTAATTTTTCTTCCAGATTCTCCCAATACATTACAAACCCAGGATCACAAGTCCTAATATTTGATCAAACATAACTGATTTCCTTCAGAAGATGGTCAGAGAAAACATGGATAGCAGCAGTAGAGATGAAGAGAAATAAACCAATTTCAAATGGATCGGATTTGTTAATAGGCTGGATACAGACCCCATGGAAAAGCTAAAGTTAGATTTTTAAAAACTTTTTGTGGTTTCTTACTGCATCCCACACAAAATAAAGGTCAAGTGGACTAAAGAGGTCAATATAATGAATTAATTAAAACGTCAGAAGGAAATACATGAACATTTTTTTCATAATCTCTGGTTAGAGTTGACATTCCTGAACAAGGTCCCCAAACTAGAAACCATAAGGTTGACAGACTTGACTGCACAAAAATTAAGTCTTACCCCCAGATAAGTAAAGCACTGCTAAAGAAGAACAAAGTAGGAAGACTCATACTCCTCAATCTCAAAACCTACTATACAGCCATGGTAGTTAAAACAGCCTAGAACTGGTACAACTACAGACACAGACCAATGGAACAGAATCGAGAAGCCAGAAATAAATTTATCCACCCATGAACAGGTGATCCTTCATAAAGAGCCAAAACTCATTAAATGGGGAAGAGATGGTCTCTTTAATATATGGTGCTGGCTAACTGGATATCCATTTGCAGAAAAATCAAACAGGACCCATAGCTCACACCATATGCAAAATCAAACTCCAACTGGATCAAAGACTTGAACATAAAACCTAAAATTATTAAATACATACATCTAGAGAGAGAGAGACGTATGTATGTATGTATATAGATGTATTGCAATTTTAGGCAATTACTTGTTTTTCACTATTAGATATAATGCTGAATGAACATCATTAGGATGTACACATATTTTTGTTCATTATGTTCAAATATTTCCATTGAATGGATGGATTCCTAGAAATGAAACCCTAGGTTACAGGGTATTTGAATTATATATAAAGACTATCAAATTTTTAAAAAAGGGAAAACTGAGGGGCCCTAACTCAGGTCATAAACACACTATTGAATATAACTAAAAATGCACAAACACCAGAAGACAAGATAGATTATTGGGACCTCCTAAAAATTAGACACTTATATGCATCAAAAGATCTCACCAAAAGAGTAAAAAGAGAACCCACAGACTGGGAAAAAATTTTGGCTATGACTTTTTGACAAGGAGCTAATCTCAACTATTTATAGAAAACATCAACAATTTAGCAACAAAAAGAAATAATCCAATTTAAAAATGGGCAGAGGACATTCAGGCAGCTAACAAACACATGACAAAGTGATGGAGATCATTGTTGTTGTTGTTGTTGTTATGTGCCCTAGAGTCAGACCCAACTCATAACGACCCCTCCCTGGGTTTTGGAGGTGGTATCACTAAGGAAGTAGATTGCCCAACCTTCCTTCCAGGGAGTGGCTGGTGGGTTTGAACCACCAGTCTTCTGGTTAGCAGTCAAGTGCCTTAGGCATTATGCTACCAGAGCTCCTATCAAAACCAA